AAACCTTTACCACCGAATTGTAAACCAGTAGGATAAAACACGTAACAATTACTGGGCACCACTTACCGTAACTTCAGCAGGGTACCACAAAGATATCCCGCTAAAACACAGGTTTGATGAACATATTTCGCATATTTGACAAAAATTAATATAAAATAATAAAATAGAGACACAAATTCGATATTCTATTAACGCTACATCCCACATGTTTTGTTTCTTTACATGACATATGCAAATGGCGGATGAGTGATTCTGTATTTTACAATAACATACGATGTGTAAAGTACTATAAAAAAACTACCTGGTATGATGTGTAATAAACTGTATTAATATTTTGTAGTAGATCTTGACTTTAATTTTCTTATAAGTAGACCTGACGGATTTAACTGTTCACTAAGTTATAACGATACAATATGCGATACCTATCGGCGTTTATAGTAAATTGTTTACTATAGAACGCTTATAGAAATGTATTAAGATTTGTGTCTAAGTGTACATGAAAGTTCATAATCCTTTCTGAACTTACATGTTTATTTAAATCTTAATACATTTCTTCACGCGTTGTACAGCAAACAACTTACAACATACGCCGGTAATTATCGCATATTATATAATTAAAACTTAGTGAACAGTTAAATTTGAACACTTAGACAAGAATATGGAGGAGCAAAATCAGCTTTCAAATAAAGTACAGACTGTCCAAATCACTGGTAGTCTCCATTCTCCTATATGGATGAGAAACATGGACACATTTGGTAGGGATAGAGGGAAGGATCCAAGCGTTTGAGAAGAAATGAATGAGAAAACTCCTTGGTATTTTCTATTGGGAAAAATCAATTTGTATGGAAAAGAGTTGAAAGTTTTGTGGCACACGAGAAACCTCTTTTCGCTACTGTCAAACGCAGAAAAATGGCGTGGTTTGGGTTCATTAAGGCACGACAGCCTATGAAAGACCCTCATGCAAGGCATCATTGAAGGTGAACGTAGGATAGGGCACCAACGTAAAAACTGGTTGGACAATATCAGACAACGGACAAGTATGACTATACCAGAATTGCTGATGGCTGCCGTTGATAGACCATTGAGGAGGAGATTCAATATGGTTTCTGCATTAGGTTCCCCAACCCATGATTATAAAAGTCAAGGGGAGTGATGATGATGATGATGATGATGATGATGCATGTAAGTGGTTAGGGTAAAGGTTAGATTTATATCTTATGTAGTTTTAATACAGATTATCGTATATTTTAACCTCAATTACCGGTTGACATAAGTTTCTGGCCACTTGTAGCCTACCGTATGTTTGGATGTCGACCGATACGGCATAATTTTAATCTAAAATTCTTGAGGTCAACATGTACGCCAGGTCGACTTCTACACCCCAATTTACGGTAAATATAATTTGTTGTCTATGTCTCTTTATCCGCTGGTAGATGTCACTTTGTCTTTGTCGTTTTGTCTTGTTTAATGTATTTTGGTTAATGTTTGTCAGCCACGTACCGCTGCTTGCTTCCTTCACATGGCGAGATGTTAATGTTGGCTTGGATATTGATAACCTATCCCTATTTCTTTCTAAAGGCTTGTCAGTCTAAACATATCGATGGCATTCCCAATATCAACATCTATCTTCTAGGGTACTGAGAAATAACGACTCGATATTGCTAATTCATCAAAAATCTCTTTCTGCCACTTTGATGATATTCTGTCCCCCAAAATCCCTCTTCTCGGAAGGACTGGTTCGTTTTCTACTGCTATTCAATACTTATATTTTGGGGATAATAATTGTTGAGTGATACAATATTTACTAATTAACCCATAGATTGGGGAGAAGAAGTGTAGTCATAACTTTCTCAACGGCATTTACGCGTAAGTGACTTTGACAAACTGTAGTTTAAATAAGTCTGTATTGCTGGGACGTCACTTGTACAAATTAAGATACCGCTTGTTCAATTCACCGTCCTTGCTTTCTGAACACGTCACAGCGTATATCCGTCTTTCCTCCCGCCCTTTCCACTGCTTCACTCCTCTTTTATCAGGCCAACACTGCGGTCGACCAACCAATCAGCGTTCTTCGCTTTTATTCCCAGTTACCCAGTCAAATAGCCTCCTTCAGTTTGACCAATCAGCACACGACTTGCTATTGGTGGAAGCATGCCAAATTGTACAAAAAAAAACAAAAAAAATCCCTCGTTAACACACTTACTGCTAGACGGGAAAGTAATGCCATTTTCATGAGGTAAACTTGCCGATGTCACGTGCCGCCCGTTAAGGTAAGACCAATTTTTTCCTATGCACCAGATGCAAGCCCCTCTGGTTCGCTTGCTTCTACGGGGCTGTTCCCAACACAAACCCAACGGGAAATAAAGAAAAAAAAATGGAGGGATTTACGATTAATAATTTCGAGACATTTTCCTCACCAGCACATTCAAGTATACAACACCTGGTATACCCAAGTGGTTACCCATCTAGTTATTAACCAGGGTCGACGTTTCTTAACTTTCGTGATCGTATGGGAAACGGTGATGTGACTATAAGCATTATGTTTGCTATGTTTGAGATGGGATATTTTATGTAGAGTTCAGATGTGTCTCCGAGTCAGTGTTAGAAAAGAATTATTTTCCACCCTCCAACCTCTCTCCTACAGACGGGATGTAGCGAACCTCTCACTGCTCTATCGCTTCTACCATGGAAAGTGCTCGTGTGAACTTGTTGCTCCAAGTTTGACCTTCAAAGCTAGGAACCGCTATGCCACTTACGTAGTAACAAACCACCCACATTCTCTCCGTATTCCAATGGTGAGAAGTAAGTTCCACTGAAGCAGCTTCTTCCATCGAACTGCTACCCTATGGAACAGACGAACAAGAGGATGTTTCCCCGATCACTACACTCTGTTCATGTCTAGAGTCAACACATATCTTTCCCTCCGATCTATATGTTACCCCTTAACTTAACTCTCCACCTCGGCTGACCCCCGGGCCTTGTACAGGGTGAACCTTACTGTAAAGAAAATAAATCTATTTTGATCCGTGAATTGATCTGCAATGGCTTGGGCCAATTGATTCTTAGCATACCTTTATTTCAAAAAGAAACAATGAATTCAGATATGTATCTTAATTCGTACTGATGGGATCTGAGAAACAAAATCCCATTACAATTCTGTTTTTTTGTTGCGTTATTTTTTTTTTAATGTGAGAATGAGCGTTGGCAGTTAGCATAAGCCGCTGACCAATTCTATCACCCGGAAAGAAATATTATCTCCTCCAAGATTTCGTTCAAACAGGTTAATATGAATTCGACGACTGTCAATACTCTCATGAATAATTACCTTTACATCATTTGTAAAAACAAAAAAAAAAACAAAAAAAAACCAGGAACACTTTGTTAAAAGCTAAATAAATTCGTTTTTTAGTTACATTGCTTATTTTAATAGACTCTCTCTCTCTCTCTCTCTCTCTCTATATATATATATATATATATATATATATATATATATAAATATATATATATATATGTGTGTGTGTGTGTTCTCTGCTGCGTTAATATCAATTGACAGATAAAAAGGAAGATATTCATAATAATATCCCCTGTAGGCACTATCAGTTATTTTCCGTATTTCTCATTAAAATCCATTCAACCCGGTTAACGTGGTGAGATGAAAAAGTCATAGAGGCGAACGAAGGTTTTCACAAAAGGTTCATTTGTCCTACCTTTTTTTGTCTTCCAATCGTTACTTTATTATTTTTACTATGCCATCTTTTTTCTCTTTTGTATACCTTTTGAGTTATTTTTTTAATAAAATTACGTCAGATTAAGAATTCTATTCGTTATTTTGATAATTTTTGTTAATTCTTTCGAAGAAAATAAATATAGGAAAAGTGAAATTTTTCGTTAACATTATATGATTGTTAGCAAAATCCTACAATGAACTTAAGATTATTCGTTGATGAAAGAACTGGAGATTCTGCGAAAAAAAGATTGCCCGCCTTTTATTCTTCATTCGTTGGTATGATGCCACTAAATACAGCATTCTTGTAGTTTATAAATGATAATATAGCACATTTTTATGCTTAGGAATTAAGGAATTTACAGGAATTGCACGATAGTGTCCTGATTTTTTCCATTCGAAAATATAAAATCAGAAGTGGAAATCTTTCGAATCTATGCCAACATCGCTATTTACAGGATTTAACGCCTTCAATGTTCTCTTTAACCGATGTTTACTCGTTCACCCACGAGGACGAGACGTGACACAAGGTCATTTTAAAGTGGAGACCCGAGCACGTACATCCGTGCAAAAGGCAAAAATTGCTCTCTGCCACCGCAACCGTCAGTTGCGGTGGCCTCGATGCGAGCACCGATCCCTCCCTCTGGTGAAATGGGAGGGCGCGGTCTCGGGTCGCTGTTCCCCACGGCTAGGCACCTTTTCAGTATAATTTCCCCAGTTGCCCCTCTGTCCTTAGACAGAGAAGCCCCTGAGCGCACTCTGCCCAAAGACAGAGACACAACTGAGAGATGATAAGCCATCCCAGTCAAAGGTCGGAGAAATGTTCTCTTTAAACAGATCAGCGAAATACTTTCTGTTTCCTATAAGAGCAGAGAAGTGAATCATTATAAGAATACATTGCTCACACAATCCCAGATAATTTCAGCAATAAACCAAATTCTGGCTTAGTATTGTTATGCAGTTACTCCACATCTCTACCAAGAATCTCTTAATTACAACCACTTGAGGGAGTTGACAATAAGCAGTAGAATAACAGAACAAGATGCCAAATTTTGTCCATTTTCAGGAGAAGTCACTACTAGTTACTGTCGAAGTCTTCTTTGAACAGTCAGATGTATGTCTACTTGGAAAGAAACAATGTAGTTATTAATAAAAAGTTTTGAAATTAATACATGAAAGATTTTACAGCTCTAGAAATACTTCATCATAGATTAGGTTTTCAGCCCATCCTCGAATTTATTTTCTTAAAAATTGTCTATCTATCTATCTATCTTAGTCTGTTCGTATCTATCTATCTATCTATCTATCTATCTATCTATCTATCTACCAAAGTCTGTTCGTATCTAAGTCTATTCGTATCTATCTATCTATCTATCTATCTATCTATCTATCTATCTATCTAAGTCTGTTAGTATCTATCTATCTATCTATCAATCTAAGTCTGTTCGTATCTAAGTATGTTCGGATCTAAGTCTGTTCGTATCTAAGTATGTTCGGATCAAAGTCTGTTCCTATCTATCTATCTATCTATCTATCTATCTATCTAAGTCTGTCCGTATCTAAGTCTGTTCGTATCTAAGTCTGTTCGTATCTATCTATCGACCTATCTGTCTATCTACCTATCTATCTCTGTCGTATCTAAGTCGGTTCTATCTAAGTCTGTTCGTATCTATCTATCGAAGTCAGTTCGTAGCGATCTATCTATCAAAGTCTGTTCGTACCTAAGTCTGTTCGTATCTATCTATCTATCTATCTATCTATCTATCTATCTATCTATCTATCTATCTAAGTCTGTTCGTATCTAAGTCTGTTCTTATCTATCTATTTATTTATCTAAGTCTGTTCATATCTAAGTCTGTTCGTATCTAAGTCTGTTCGTATCTATCTATTTATTTATCTAAGTCTGTTCGTATCTATCTATCTATCTATCTATCTATCTATCTATCTATCTATCTATCTATCTAAGTCTGTTCGTATCTATCTATCTATTCTCTCTGTCTCTCTGTCTCTCTGTCTTTCTCTCTCCTCTTTTAAAAACAAGAAGTCTTTTGTCTTCCCAGCACAAAATAGTATACAAACGCCCTTAGGTCATAATTCTACCAAACTAAAGATTAACTTTTACCAATTAATCTTACTCACTATCCCTAATACAGATTCAGCCACACTATACGAAAAAGGACATCTTTATATATACACATTCATTTACATCATTTTATATCCTTTTTCATTACTTCTCCTAAGTCAATAAAATTTTGTGAAATGTACAACAATATTACTTGTAATTTAATTTCCTGTTCAAGAAACCATTCCATTCAACCACAAAACTATATTAAACACTAAATCGCCCCCACCCAATGCCACCTTGTTATTATCATTTCCAATAACAGCTGTAGTTTAGTAGTTATCGGTGCAAAAATGGAATCATAGTTCCGGGTTCAAATTTTGGCCTCCACTCTCGATACGAATAACCTTGGGAATAACATGAAATCATCATTCCTTCCACTGGTTAAGAATTTATTAACACTGGAATCAATCTCTTGGGGTAAGAGTCAGTCTAGAAAGAGAACTCGCAATTCAAATCCGCTAAGAAGACAGCAGAAAAATAATTTCGGTAAATTCTCCTCCACAGAATGGATTAAATATCAACTTAAATTAGGCTTTTGAAACTTTATTGGCAGCTAGTGGAACAGAAGAGTTGCAGTAAATTCCAAACAGTATTACAAACTCGGTGAAATTTAACTAAGTGTGTGTAATCTACACACACACACACACATATATATATATATATATATATATATATATATATATATATATATATATATATATATATAAAAGGTTACTGGTCAGAGGTGAATCAGACCAGGAAACAATAGTATAAAAAGTGCTCAATACACGTGTGAAAAAAAGGTAAAAATAACGAAGAGATTTAACACACGGCGTAACGTTGAGTGCAATAGAAAGGAGGGGGTAATGAGAAGGAAGAAGAAGGAAAAGAAGAAGAAAGGTGAATAAGAGAAAAGAACAAAGGAAGTGTATCGTCAATGTATAAAGAAAAGAAAAGCATGTATAGTGTAAATTTAAAGAAGGTTTTGTAGTATAGGTAAAAATGGTGGGGGGATGAAACGTATTTTTAAATAAAACAGTAGGATTTTTTCCGTACCTGTCCATATTTCTGAGATGAGGTATTATGTGCACTATTTACATTATTCATACTATTATCCTCATCTTTGTCGCCATATTCAAGTGGTTGGAATGTCAAACTGAACCATTTATTTCTCTCACTGGTGTAGACTGTTCCTGTTTCACGCGCCATGTTTTACGGATGTCAATTAATTCCCCTCTCCAAATTCCCCACTGCTTTAACCGGGTATTGAACTCACACTCTTTGGTCCAGTCACTGGATCTAACCAACGTCTTTATCCACTGTGCCATGTGTCCTATGCATGGATTTCTGAGTATTATACATCTAATGTCTTCAGCATCCATTTTTACCAGTGCTCATATTGCAATTTTGCTCTTATCATTTCATGTTTTTACCAGTGCAAGTTTTGTTGTTATTATCGCTTTTCTCTGGCACTCCTTATTACTGGTTCCCATATTGTATTCATTTCTATGCTTGGTCGGCTCAGGAGATTTTTGTGGCCTAGCATATGTACTGATTCCTTAAGTTTACGAATTTTCCAATGGTGTTCTTTGTCTATAATCTCAACCTGATCCCACAGGGTTTTTTATATATATATTTTTTTTATCCGGCCTCATATTAACATAATGTTTTTTTTTTATATATGAAGGCAAGAACCTCAAATCTCTATTTTTTGGATCTAAAAATGTTATGATCATTAATTTCTCATGATTTCTGTATGGTTTTACCTTTTCTTTAAATTGTCCACCTTACAAATGGGTCCTTGTTTATTTCTTTTAGATGTCACATATGTGTAGCAAGTTTGGTAGAGTATCTAAGATTTGCTAGTTTAAACGAACATCTATGATTATAACATCAACGCTTAAAAGAACAGTCTGTACAACTTATATACGTTTTATTTTGACGATTAATGTCAGTTATATCCTATATAACCCTTGTTTTCGCCTTATAAACCCAAATAAAGTTGAACTGAGTAAAATAAACCATATATATATATATATATATATATATATATATATATATATATATATGAGTTGCCCTTATTTTTCAAATTTCTAAAAGTTTAGCTTCCAACCCCTATTTTGTTCAAAAAACATATCTATGCAAAATTTTAGCTCAAGCTGACAACTGCAAAGCGACCCTCAGTGATACTGAAATTTTCAAATTTTCGCACGTATAATCATTTTTCAAATAATAATTTTAATTCTTATTTAACTTTATCTTAAATTAAAATAAATTTCAGACTTATGCCTACCATGAGAATGATAAGTGAGAATAAATATAATTTGCAAAGTTGCAGGCAGAGTATAGGTAAAGGACAAACATCTATTTTTGCCGTCATACGCATTTTTAAATAACATTTATTCTATTTGTAATAACTTCGAAGAACTCTGTCATTTTTTGTGTCATTATGACATTGATCTTCCTATGCTGTGTTCGTTGCCCTGACAAAGTTGTAAAACTCTTATTATAACCTCTCCGTTTTCATTATATTATATCTTTTGTATACGTATTTTGTGACCAATGATACGTTTAGTGATTATTTCTTCATTTCTTTCTTTAAGAAATGTTTGTGCAGGTGCAAAGTTGCTTCTTTGACGAGTTCTTGCTACACCTGTAAAATGGCATCAAGTTTTCCATGTAGTTTATCACACAAGTTAAGAAAAGATTTTCATTTCACTCTTGTTGGCTACATTTCCAGTCAAATCATTGGAACCAAACTATCCTCGAATCGGCAAGTTTTAATGTGTGTGTTTTTTTTCTACAATGTAAGAGTTGGAAATCATACTGTGAAGGAAATTGCAGCATCAATGATTCATGGAGTTTAAATTTTTTTGGCAAAAAGTACGACTACCTATCAGAAGTACTGACCACTGTGTTGATAAGCTACTCAAAACTATGTGATGAATGGAAAGGTTTACAGAAAAAAATTGAATGGAACTACAGGTAGGGAAAAAGAAAAAAAATGGAGAATTTTTTGTGGAAAAGCGGGACAATTTCTTTGACATTGCTAATTCAGATGCTTTGGGACAGATGAAAATTGAAGACGATAAAAAGTTCCGTATGTTTCAGCGCTAAAAATGACGCCTAGACTCCATGTTGGTGGAGATCAAAAACTAAAATACAAGTAAGAGAAAAGCACTGAAGCGGACTGCAATGGATACAAAAAAAGGATTTATAAAGAAACGGAACAAAATTTTGATACTAATCATTTTGTTAGATCAGTAGGTGATGATTCAATATGAAGCAACCAAAGTAGTTGTGGTGATGACAGTATAAATTCCTCTGTTATCTTTCAGTAAATATCAGTGTCAGATACAAACGCAGCAACAGTTATAGCAAATCGAGATTAATTGCAGTTTTTTACTCCCCTCCTCGCTGAAGATTTTGATAATTACAAAATCACTGACAGAAATGGGATTTACATATCAATGGCTACTGCAGAAGCTTTCAGGCCTGATACTGAAAACCTGATAATAAATCAGGCTTCTTTTCAACACCTAAGAAAATCTTTTAGACAAGAGATACAGCAGAAATTTAACCTAAACGACTGTCAAGAATTAATGCTGCACTGTGATGGAAAGCTCCTCCCAGTACTCAGAGGCGTTGAAAACGTTGATAGACTGGTAATAATAGTAACATTTCAAGGCAAGAAGTAAATGCTGGGAGTCTCTGAAATACAAGAACAGTAAGCCATGGCTTTTTACCAAGCAGTGGAGAAGTTGGCTATAACGGACAAAATACAGGCACTTTGCTATGACCGAGTAAATGGTGCCTGTGCAAATCTACAAAAAATGGTTCAATTGCGTCTTCTTGTACTTCCCTTGCCGTCAACAAATTTTTGAGTTTCAACTCACAAATGGATCTAACCAACGCCTCAAAGACACATGGCACAGTGGATAAAGGCGTTAGTTCGATCCAGTGACTGGACCCAAAGTGTGTGAGTTCAATACCCGGTTAAGGCAGTGGAGAACTTTCAGAGAGAAATTAACAGGAGATAACTGATAACTGACATCCATTAAACATGGCACGTGGAACTAGAACAGTCTACCCCAGTGAGCGAAATAAAGGGTTCAGTTCGAAATTCCAACCACCTGATGAAGGCCGGAGCGTACAACGGCCGAAACGTTGTGATAAATATGGCGACAAAGACGAGGACAATTGTCCGAATTATGTAAATAATATATGCGTTGTGTGTATTTATCTAGATGTATAGGAATGTTTTATTTTCCACACATTCTGGCCGTGTTCGTTGGTAATGTTATTGAGCGTTGGCTTTATCTTTTTTATTATTAGGGCTTCCATTATTTTCTACGTTAATGTTTCGGATGGAGTCTGGTAGGTTTGTGTGTGTGTCGAAATGAGTTGTTTAGATGAGTTCAAATAGAACTGTGGTCGGATAGGTGTAATGTAAGTCGCCTGCATATGCATGTAGTAGTGTGACAACTGTAATTATTTATGAGTTCTGTTTGATCAAGGGCACAGTTCCTTAAGGGACATTTGAACTCGTAAATAATGTTCTTTCCTTGTAGTTTTTATTTTGCAAGTCTGTTGTTATTTTTTATGATAAGATTACCCGTTTTAAATTTTTGTAGTAATAATTTTAATTTCCTTGTTCTTGTCGACTGTTGTTATGTATTTCTTTAATATATTTCTAAGAGAAAATTCGTCATGCTTATATTTGAAATGTATTTGGCATTTGCAGAAGATGTTAATGTTATTGTTTTTATCTGTATATTCATTATTGCTATTAGTTACTTTAGGTAGAAGTATTCTCTTCTGGCGGTCGATGAGGCAGTTAGGAAAACCATTGTTAACTAGTGTTTGCATTGTTGTGTTATTTAAGGAAAAGTAGACAAGAGGATAAATTCTTGTGTGCTCTCGTTAGAAAATTTTTGTCAATGATATTTTATATCTAAGTGGGTATTCACTCTTAAGATTAAGGTGGCAAAAGTTCTGCTAGTGTTTTTTTTTTAATACAAGATGTGATGAAAGTGGTGTTACTGTATTCTACGAGAAAGTCTAAGAATGGGAGATTATTTTTTAACTTAGTTCGTAGATAAAGTTAAGGACAGAGATGGTGCCTGCTGGCAACAGTATTAAGCACTATACCACACAAGGAAGAGAACCTAGTTATGGCTGTCAGGCCACATCTGCGGCAAAATCACCTCTTACATCTGGCCATATAACCTCTCCAGACTGTAATCCCTCTGTTTATTATATACGGCAATCAATTGAGGAGAGAGCAGCAAACCTCTTGTAACACTAAAAATGAACTGAATGCAAGGATCATGATAGCTTTCAAGAACATAAAAAGGAGACCGTCCAGAAGACTTGCAGGAGATTCTGAAGTTGTCTGGAGGCTGTGGTTGAAGTCGATAGCGAATATATTGAATAATTTTAGTCAATAGTATTTCAAGATATTTTTTTTTTGTAATTTTGGTAAATACATCTATTAAAATACGATGTAAGTGTTAGTTTCATTTTTCATAATATAGACGACAATTCATCCATCGCATATATATATATATATATATATATATATATATATATATATATATATATATATATACAGTGTAATCCGGATATAAGAGAGCTGTCGGGACCGGAGAAGAAGTCTCTTATATCCGGGTTTATCTTATATCCGGTTTTGGTCTATTTTATATACATTAACACTGGCTCTAATTTGGGACCAGAGAAAATCTCTCTTATATCCGGGTTTCTCTTATATCCGGATCTCTTATATCCGGGTTACACTGTATATATGCACATACGAATGTATCTGTATATATATATATATATGTGTGTATCTGTATATATATATATATATGTGTGTGTGTGTGTGTGTGTGTATCTGTGTGTGTATATGTATGTCTATAAATATAAGTACTCATGTGATTATGAATCTCTTTATATATTTATGTATATATATATATATATATGCTTTTATATATATATATATATATATATATATCGCTATATGTTTGATATATATATATATATATCGATAAATCGATATATTTTATAGAGATATTGATATATGTTTTATATATATATATATATATATATATATATATATATATGTTTTGAATAGATAGAAAGATTTTTTTTTTAATGGTTATGAAAATCAATGTTGGAAATCCTGGTACCGAGGCCGTCTTATATAGTCGGATATTTCGAGTTATCTATGTTATATATTTAATATTCTCATCATTGTCTACTTACCGTATCATTCGGCATGAACTGAATAAATTTAACTTAAATATTTATTCATTAGATTTAGTTTATGATAATATTTGCATATATTATATCAGCTACAGTGAATTTCAATTTAATACAAGTGAATAATAAGTTACTTCTCTGCTTTCTTATAATTCAACGTTTGTTTTTATTTAATAATTTCAAAGAAGATAAAATGTTCGCTCTTGAAAGAGATACGTTCTTAATTCTAACGACTAATTTCAAACGTTTTATTTATAAACGTTAATGCAATTTTCGTATTTAATTTTGATTCAACTAAATATTATAACATCAACAATAATAAACGTGATTATTTTGTCGGAGATAGCTCCTCCTTAATTCCCAAATTTTCACTAGGGGTCTCTCTCCCCATGCTATAAATACTGGGCGACATCTTGCCTCGTTCTCTTTTTCCTTCAGACCTCGTGCCGCATCCCACCTCGCGTGGAGGTGAGGTAAATCCTATTTTTCATTTCTTCATTTCAGCGACTACAATGTAAGCTCTCTTAGAAGATCCGCGTCTTCCCATTTGTGGGAGACGACGTGAACATTAAACAGAAATACACGTACATAGGAACATTCACCAAAATGCGAACATTCACCAAAGAATAGACACCAATGTTTACACACACACAAATATTATTTTTTATGTCCATTGTAAAATTGTTTTGTTTAATACATATATTTGTTTATATATATATATATATCGGTCTTGTTTGTTTGTTTTCTTTTCATCTTCAGTTGCACTTAATTCAAGTCCGTTTATTTTCTTGTAGTTGGACCTTTTAATATTCAACCAAGAGTTACACACGTGTTTCTAATACAACAACACGCACACACACACAGTCATCTACAATTCCTTATTAATTATTTAATAGTTATTTATTAATCTATTTTATTTAGTTCTATGTTTTAATTTTGTTATATACTCGTTGCCCGCGCCATTCTTCCAGGCGATTTAATACACATGAGGAGATAGTATTTATACCGCCTTACGGTTTATACTGCCCTATGTTGACCTAATGGATAGCGACTCGGATTAATGAATCGGAGATCCATATCGAATTCCAGTAGATTCGAATTCCAGTAGATTACCCTTGGGAAAGGTATGATCGATAGACAGATAGACTTGAACGCAGAAAGAAATGCCTACCTACTACGGGAAAATATTCTGCCTCGTCAATAATGTATCGAAAGATACATGATCGTCTATGTGTGTATCACGGCACATAACTGAATGACTGGGCGGAAGGAGAGCAGAGGGGGCCAACGGTCAGTGCATGGGGTACTCTGGCCTAATTTACGGACCGATACTATATTTAGAATACTCGTGATAAATGAATAAACAAAATCATCGGACATTCTTTTTCCCAGAAAAAAATATTCCCTCTACCAATATATCAATAGATAGATTTTCTCAGTACAGCGTTCTTAGACCAGAGACGGAGAGGAAAAAAAGGTAAAAATATCTTTTAGGTAGATATGTTAGGATGACAAATATTTTTTCGGCTGAAAATTTTATTAATGCATTTAATTTCAGGCTTCTAAGATTTCTCTAGCACGGTGCAGTAGATGTCAATTTTTTTATCAAACTAGTATATAAAACCCTTTTATCTAGTGCAGCATAAGACAACGATAACGAATTAATTCATCACTAGGACCTCAACAAATATAACTTTGTGCTGGACAAGCTAAAATGTAGACAAAAATTACGATTGCTCCTTCTCTGTAGCATGAATTCTATATTTATAAAGTTTAAAATATAAATGTTCTGGCTAAAGGTGTTATGGTCGGATGAGACCTAACTAGGAGCTTTCTGGGTGGGGACCGATACGTGGTATGTAAGGCGAGCTCCTAATATAGAATTTGGTGCCAACAGTTAAAGATGGCAGTGGCAGAATTATGATCTGCGTATGCTTTGCTTCAGCTGAAACAGAAAGAGTATTAAATATTGACGAATTCAAGGTACTTTTGAACGGTTGGGTTGAATTCGGAACTGAAGATTCTAACAGGACCATGATCCGAAGTATCAAAGCAGTTCCACAAAAGAATGTCAAGTCTTAGAATAGCCTAGCCAAAGACCTGATCTAAATCCAATTGAAAATCTGTTTCAAATTAAAAAAGTCAATACATATACGAAAC